GGGTGAATTTACCCAGGGGAACTGCCATCGGATGAAATTGACCAGCCCGGATGAAACTGCGACCGTGTAAATTTACCCGGATGGGTGTGGCATCGGGTGGAACTGACCCGGGTGAATTTATCAGGTGAATTTGGCTGGGCTGACTTTACCTAAGTGAAACCTTCTCGGGCGAATCAGCCCAGTGTCATGGAGAAGTCTGCCACCAGCGAGGTCGTCACCAGAGATGCTGATATTTGGTGTATCGCCGAAGAAGATGAGGAAGAAGCGGGCGGGGATGGCGGACGTCAAGAAGAAGGGGAGGGGACACGTGGAGAGCGAGGGAAAGGCGGAGAGGAAACGAGGGAGTGGGGGGATGCGGTGGAAAGTAGAAGCAGTGCAACGGGCCGCGTCGCTGGGGACCTCTCCGCCGGGCAGCGCTCCGCCGGGACCGCTTCGCTGGCGGGCCGCCCCTCTGGCTGGCCGCTGCGCCTGCGGGCCGCCGTGCGCCTCGCCGTCGTCGTCGCCGTCGTCGTGCTGCCCGAAGGGGCAGGGCGGGCGGCCCCTGACGGGCAAGCGGGCAAGCGGACCTTCCCAGGCGGGCAGGGCACTGAGCCGGGCGGGCCGTCGCGCCCGCGGGCGGGCGGGCGGACCCCACCACGCGCGGGCGGGCGGGCGAGCCCGGGGACTGCGCCCGCCACAGAGCAGGGCACAGTGCACGGGCCCACCCGCTCGGCAGCGCGGGTGGCCGTTCACCTCCCGCGGACCGCGCTGCAGAGTCCTTCGCGCACTGCGACTCCCTCGCGCACTGCGAACTCCCTTCGCGGGGGGAGGAGGGATGAAGGGCGGGAGGGGGGAGGAGCGACGAGGGTACGAAGGACGAGAAGGACAGAGGTGAGGAGAACGAGGAGGCACGCCGACGTGCCGAGGGCTTCCGAGGGGGGCCACTCCTCCTGCTTCACCTGCTCGTCCACCTGCAGGCTGAACTGCTTCTTTTTCTGCTCCCCGGTCCTGCGACACCGGAACGCCGCGAGAGGGGGAGTGAGGATTGGGTCGGTCCCGCCGTATTGCTGGAGACTCTCATCCCAAGAACGAAAGAGGGGTGCCCGGTCTTGCGGCCATCTTAGGTCGATGTCGTCCCGTTTTGCCTGTCTCGGTTAGAGTGCGCAAACAGAAGTAGCTCATGAAACACAAAGCTGTGAACACATCGTTTGCAAATCCTATCATGTTATTGTCGTGGCCCTGGAATGCGTGTCCCTAAAAAACGCCATCATCGAGTGGCCCCAGCTGCGATGTGCTACACATGGTAAATCCCAACAATTGCGCACTAAGCATGCTAACGGTCAGCCCTTGGAAGATGAGATCCAAGCAAAGTTTTTTGAGGTTGCATTGCGTCAGCCCGCTGCTTGTCATGCAGATGTGCATCTGGCCCCGTTACATGGCTTGAACTCGTGTTTGGAAGCGCCCAAGCCCCAAGCCGAAAGGAAGCGCATCCACGTTACAGGAAATACCGAGCATGTGTTGGATGCCTTGAGGCCAGTCGAGCTTTCAATGGTGGACCGCCTGGCCAGGCCGTCACACATCTCCCAAACAGATGCGTCTGTGTGGAGGTCGAACCCATCAGGAGCGGGCACGGAAAGATGCACGCAAGAATGCACAGCTGATATCTGAAAGGCGGTGTCAGATTGACGGTGGGGTTGCACCACCACTCCTTCCTACGTTTCACGTTCTTCCCCATTCCTCCCCAGGTATTCCCTTCACGTCCCTGCCCAATTGCCAGGCTCATAGATTGTGCGGTCCCTTCCTCCCCAGCCTCTCTCCCCATCGCAATCCCCTCACCCTTCCGCGTCCCCTCTTTGCCCCCTCTTTCCCTCCTCCTCCTCCTCCTCCTCCTCCTCCTCCTCCTCTTCTCCCCCTCGTCCTTCCCCCATCATCCCACTGACTCCCCCCCCACAGCGGCTCCCGCCAGCAGGGCCGCCACCGTCCTTCGCAGGTAGTCCTGCCGTTGCCTCAGCTGGGAGTCCAGCACCTCCGTACAATGCCTCGCCGCCGCCACCGCGGCGACCCGCTCGGGACCGCCGCCGTTGGTTTGTTCAGGAACTTTCGGGCATCATCGACCGCGGGAGCCGCTGCTGCGTCGTCGCATTTCTCCTCCTGACCCCCTCCTCCCCCTGTCTCCCCTGAGCCCCTCCTCCACTCCGACCACAACTAGCGGCCTGCCTACCTACATAGAAACAGCATTACCTCTACCACCACCACCGCTACGGCAACTTTTAGTCATACTACGACTAGGATTGGACGCCACCTGTGCGCAGTGGAAAAAAGTGTAGAGAGGCTAAAAGATACGGGTTCGAGCTCGGGTTCGGGACTGGCTTCGGCACAATAAAAATACAAAGCGACGACGAGACACATGCAACACACATACAATACACATACATGTACAACACACACATACAACTGCAATACCCCTCCAAAGAAATGCCAGGTTCTTCCGTCCCGCACGAAGATGACCTTTAGACTGCCCCGATCCTAATAGAACCCGAATGCAAACCCGATTGAAACTACCGCGCGCACGTAACGCGCAACGGCAAACCCAAATGCTCCCGGAGCCTCCTGGGGCCTCCTGGTGTCTCCTGGGAGGCCCTGGGGCCTCCTGGTACCTCATGTGGCTTCCTATAGGGCCTCCTGGGGCTATCTGCGAGCCTCCGCGAGCCTCCTGGGGCGCCCTATGGGCCTCCGCTCGAGTGTCTCCTGGCGGCCCATGGTGCCTCTTGGAGCCTCCTGGGGCATCCTCGTGCCTCCCGGGGATTCCTGGTGCATCTTGGTGCCTCCTGTGGCCTTCTGGGGCCTCGTGGGGCTCCTGGTGTTTCCTATGGTTTCGTGGGGTCTTCTGGGTCCTCCCGGGGCTTCCGGGTGCCTCCTGGGACGTCCTGGTGCCTCCTGGGGGTTTCCTGGTGCCTCCTGGGGCCTCCCGTGGCCTCCTTGGGCCTCCCGTGGCCTCCTGGGGCCTGCCTTGTGAAATCTCCTGCTGCTTCCCACGGGCTCATGGGGCCTTCTGGGGCCTCGTGGGGCCTCCTGGCGTTTCCTGATGCCTTCTGGGGCCCTGGGGCCTCCTGGGGTTTCCTGGGGCCTCCTGGGGCTTCCTGTGGCTTCCTGGTGCGTCATGGTGCGTCATGGTGCCTCTTCGTGCCTCCTGGTGCCCCCTGAGGCCTCCTGAGGCCTCTTGGGGTATCCGGGAGCATCCTGGGGCCTCCTGGTGTTTTCTGGGGCCTCCTCAAGTTTTCTGGGGCCTCCTAGCTGGGGCCTTCTGGTGCCTCCTGTGGTCTCCGGGGACTGCCTCCCGATGCCTCCCTGGGGTTCCTGGCGCCTCCTGGGGTGTTTCCCCGGGGCGCGCGCGGCCGCGACTCGCCCTCACTGGGATACACGCAAGGGGGAGGAGGAGGAGGAGGAGGAGGAGGAGGAGGAGGAGGAGGAGGAGGAGGAGGAGGAGGCGCAGCCCGCCCTCCGCATCGCTCGGAGGCTGGCGAGCTGACTCTCGCCCGCCGGCGTGGTGCATCTGGCACTCCGCGGAGCGGTCTGGCCACTGAGTCGCTCGCTGCCCGACGGTGGGCAGGGCCGACGCTGGCCCTGGAGAGGGACAGAGGGGTAACAAAAGAAAGAGAGAGAGAGAGAGAGAGAGACAGAGGAAGAGAAAGAGAGAGAGAGAGATGTAGAGGGAGAGGGAGAACAAGAGAGATATAGATGTTGAGAGAAAAAGAAAGAAACCACAACCCCAAACATAGCGAGAGAGAGAGAGAGACACACACACACACACACACGCACACACACACACACACACACACGCGCGCACACACACAAAGAAAACATCAACAGCAACAACAACAACAGCAACAACAACAACAACAACAACACCAACAACAACACCAACAACAACAACAACAACCACAATCACTTTACCCGAACGCTCAGTGTTCTCACCAGTGCCAGGGTTTTCATGCGACGCCAGCCAATACCCCCACTTTGTGGGGGGGCAGTGCAAGCTCTACCAAATATCCACACGACTCTTCGCCACCACCCACACCCAGCTTCCCGCCCTATGACGTTCGGACACTTCACTTCGTGGCCTGCGGACGACCGTGGCTACTACACTGGCGTGGAGTACACACCCACAGAAGTTGTTAAGCCTACGTTCGTACACCCACAGAAGTTGTTAAGCCTTGTTAACCCACAGAAGTTGTTAAGCCTTCCACAGAACATCTGTTGCATATGATGCATATGGTACATGATACACATGATACACATGATACGTACTCACAAGATAGTTGATCACATCTTTAGGGCAAATTCCTGAGGGATGTGGGAATACACAAGAGAGAGAGGATATGGTTGTCCCGATGGTTGTCTCGATGGTTGTCCCGATGGTTGTCCTGATGGTTGTGGTTGTCCCGATCGTTGTCCCGATGATTGTCCCGATGGTTGTCCTGATGGTTGTGCTTGTCCCGATCGTTGTCCCGATGACTGTCCCGATGATTGCCCCGATGGTTGTCCCGATGGTTGTTCCGATGGTTGTCCCGATGGTTGTCCCGATGGTTGTGAGCGATGCCGGATCCTCACGCCCCCCGCCGGAGGAGGAGGTGGAGAGCACTGAGCGCGCGCGGGTAGAAATTTTGAAAAGTCGTGCAGGTGTTTTTCGAGGACCTACGGTGCGATTCGTGTGATTTTATGATGCGCGGTGCTAAAATTCTTAAGAAGCCCAATGGTTTTTGGAGATTTCGGCGTGCGCGCGCGAAGAAAAAACGAATGTGTCCCGCATGGTATTATTTGACAGGGATGATGGCCCTGGCAGGTGCGCAACCGTTGTCGCAGAAGTTCGAAAAAGTTGCTCGCAAAAGCCCGTTTGACAGAAATGTTTAAAAAGTGTTGGGTTTCCTACGAATCCGCAAGAGCGCGCGGGATGAGATTTTGACATTTTTTGTTGAAAAACCATTGGTTTTTTGATGTTTTTATGTTAAAATCGCTGCGAACACTAAGGTTTTGGAAGGATTTCGTCTTGCGCGCGCGAATGTCCACTTTACCTTATTTTTTGCAAGGGATTCTTGAAATTTGATTATATTAGAACAAGAAATGTCATTTTATAGTGTTTTTTGCAAGGGAAAGCGGATTACAACAAAACAACCGGATCTGGATCACATCGTTTTACCTGAGGCTTCCTCACGAAAATGATGAAAATGTAGCTGCGGCCTAGGCGGCGCAGGGGGGCGTGCACCAGGGGGCCCAACAATAATTATTCTTTAGAATTAATAATGTCAAACTGCTGCTGCTGCGACTACTACTACTACACTACTACTACTACTACTACTACTACTACTACTACTACTACTACTACTACTACTACTACTACTACGACTACTACTAACTACTACTACTACTACTACTACTACTACTACTACTACTACTACTACTACTACTACTACTACTACTACTACTACTACTACTACTACTACCCCTACTCCTACTCCTACCCCTACTCCTACCCCTACTCCTACTCCTACTCCTACTACTACTACTACTACTACTACTACTACTACTACTACTACTACTACTACTGGCGGTCTCGTGCACCACATCACCACGGCTCAACCACCTAGGGAAGAGCGTCCTTGTGGCCGCCTCATTGCCAGTATCTAGCGCGCACCTCTTCTGGGTGAAAGAACGGGTCTGACACGCTTGCATCGTCAGGCGCTCGCACTGTGGGCAGTTGGACCAACGGCCCAGAATGAAGCGCCATCACCGGCGCAGCAGCGCACGGGGCGACCCCAGCGCCGCCACCCAGGCCGACTAGCGCGAGAAGGCGCGAGGCAAGGCCTGGATGACAAGCCAAGGGCGGGTCTGACGTGCACGCAGCAACAGGCGCCTGGCCGAGGGCAGCTGGTCCCTACAGCAAAAAGGAAGGCGCTGGCGGCGGCATAGCAGCACGCGGGGCGACCCCAGCACCGCCACCCAGGCCTACAAGCGCAAGAAGGCGCGAGAGGAGGCCAGGATGGCAGGCCAAAATGGCCAGGCGCCTGACGGCGACGCTGCAGTACACGGGGCTGCCCCAGCACCGCCAGCGAGGCCAACGAGCGCAAGTGAGCGTGAGGAGGCCGAGATGGCAAGCCAGTTGGCGAACCAAGGTGGCTGGGCGCACAGGTAGTCATGCGCCGAGCCGAGGCAAAGGCAACAGATGCTGCCACGCGAGGGGGGTGCCGCTGTGGGCCCGCCGCGCTACAGAGAGTGGCAAGTAGACAACTTGGCATGGACTCACGTGGCCTGCCGAGGCCCTGGATCCTGCTGGGCATTATCCTTCAGGCCTGCTGGCCTGTTCTCTGCGTAATGGCAGCAAAGACCTGCGACGGCAGCGCCCGCACCTCCCCGCCGAGGTCGCCACTGCCAACCGCCTGCCCTGGGGGCCCAAAGATCTGGCGCTCAAGGTCTTCACCAAGGGCCACGTTCAGGGCTGCAGCGCTTGGGATCTGCTGCGGGAGCGGGTCCGTCTGCGGTGGCGGGTGCGTCGGCGGCGGCGGCACATCAGGGGGCGCCGTCGGCGGCGGCGGCGGGGGGCCCATGATGGCCGCGGCCTCTGGCGGGACTCCAGATGGCGGTGGTGGCGGGTCCTGGCTGCCGCGGGCCCCGCTCGCTGGTGGGGCGCTTGCGGTGCAAACGGGGGTGGCGCGCGGGGCGGCCCCTGTACCACCCCCGCCGCCCGAGAGGCTGCCCTCCTTCAGGTTGTGGCGGCGCTCGTAGAGCGCCAACTCCCTGTGCGCCATCTCCAGGCGCTCCCTCTTGGCTTTGTTCCGCGCCTTCTTGCTGTAGCCCGCCCATTCAGGGTCGTTCAGTCCCCTACTACTACTACTACTACTACTACTACTACTACTACTACTACTACTACTACTACTACTACTACTACTACTACTACTACTACTACTACTACTACTCTACTACTACTACTACTACTACTACTACTACTACTACTACTACTACTACTATGCTACTACTACTACTACTACTACTACTACTACTACTACTACTACTACTACTACTACTACTACTACTACTATACTACTACTACTACTACTACTACTACTACTACTACTACTACTATACTACTACTACTACTACTACTACTACTACTACTACTACTACTACTACTACTACTACTACTACTACTACTACTACTACTACTCTACTACTACTACTACTACTACTACTACTACTACTACTACGACTACTACTACTACTACTACTACTACTACTACTACTACTACTACTACTACTACTACTACTACTACTACTACTACTACGCTACTACTACTACTGCACTACTACTACTACTACTACTACTACTACTACTACTACTACTACTATACTCCTACTAGCAGCAACAGCAACAGCAACAGCAACAGCAACAACAACAACAACAACAACAATCATTTTACCCGACGCACTCAGTGTTCTCACCAGTGCCAGGGTTTTCATAGGAGGCGGGCAATACCCCCACTTTGTGGGGGGGCCGGTTCAAGCTCTACCAAATTTCCAAACGACTCTTCGCCACCACCCACACCCAGCTTCCCGCCCTATGACGTTCGGACACTTCACTTCGTGGCATGCGGACGACCGTGGCTACTACACTGGCGCATGGTTTCAATGACATTTTGTGGTAACATCTTGTGGAAACTAGCTTAGTATACGACGACGACGACTTGAAGGGCCTACGGTGCGAAAAATGATGTTATGTTGCGCGGTGCTAAAATTCCTACGAAACCCAATGGTTTTTGAAGATTTCGGCGTGCGCACGGAAAGAAAAAACGAATGTGTCCCGCATGGTATTATTTGACAGGGATGATGGCCCTGGCAGGTGCGCAACCGTTGTTGGAGAAGTTCGAAGCACGTGAAGAAGTTGATCGCAAAAGCCCGTTTGACAGAAATGTTTAAAAAAGTTGGGTTTCCTGCAAATCCGCAAGAGCGCGCGGGATGAAATTGTGACACTTAAAAAAAAAAAAAACATTGGTTGTTTGATGTTTTTATGTTGAAATCGTTACGAACACTAAGGTTTTGGAAGGATTTCGTCTTGCGCGCGCGAATGTCCACTTTACCTTATTTTTTGCAAGGGATTCTTGAAGTTTGGTTATTTTAGAACAAGAAATTTCATTTTATAGTGTTTTTTGCAAGGGACAGCGGGGGGGAACAAAACAACCGGATCTTGATGACATCGTATTACCTGAGGCTTCCTCACGAAAATGATGAAAATGTAGCTGCGGCCTAGGCGCGGCGAGGGGGTCGCGCACCAGGGGTCCCAACAATAATTATTCTTTAGAATAAATAATGTTCAAAAGACAGAGTCATAGCGACAGACAGACGGACAGACAGACACGCACGCACGCACGCAAGCACGCACGCACGCACCCACACACATATACACACACACATAGACGGACAGAGAGAGAGAGAGAGAGGAGCGGGTCAGGGAGGAGGAATAGGAGAAGGAGGAGGAGGAGCACGCCCCGCAGGCACCCAACCCAGCGGGCCTCATCCCCTCCACGCACCTCCAAGGCCTCGCAACCATTTTTCGAACCCTCCGCCGAATGGTGACAGCAGGCTCGAGCCTGCTGGATGGGGAGACTGCCCTGGCGACGCTGCCTGAGGACAGGACATCCGTCGCCCAGCGCGACTCCGCAGCCCACTCCGCACAGCTGGTGGCGAGCGCGCGGCGGCTCGCGTGAGGAGTGGTTTGCCCACTCGCCAGCCGAGCGACACGCACGCGAGCGCCCCAAGCACAAAGCCGGGTGCTGCCAAAGGTGCCCCCCGGCTCCACAAGGTGCCCCCAGGATTTCCAGAAGCCCCCCAGCAGCCACCAGAGCAACCCTCGCGAGGCCCAGAGGGTTGTTGGGCTCCAAACTGGCGCGACAGGCTGGGGATACCTTGGGCCAGGGACGCCCTTCCCAGGCCCCGACGCCACAGCTGTCTCACAACGTGGACCCCCGGAGGTCTCGACCCACTCCCCGGGCCCAAATCTCTCTACGACGACATGGGAGCAGTGTGCATTTCAACGGATACAAGCACTGATGGTAGCCACCACGGGTGCGGAGACGTGCGCCCATACGGCACGACACCGCAGCCTCGGACCGCACCGACACCCGCCTCTGGGACCAGCTTTTCTCATCCTGAGTCGTTTTCTGACAGCCCCGGGGCCCGGCGAGGGCCGCTAGAATCCGAAAACTCAGGAAAACCTCCGTCTTGATTCTCTGAAAACTGCGCCAGGGACACCCCTGGCAACACCTGGACAAAGGCTCCGTGGCCTCCGCGACCGGCACCCGCCGGAGGCGACCCCACGGAAGGCGAATACACTCCGCGACCGGCACCCACCGGAGGCGGCCCTGGGACTACAAAGGGGGCCGCGACACCTCGCCCATCGGGCTCGAGGAGCGCGGCGGCCCTGAGGGGAGGAGTGCGAGCAGGGAATGGGAGGCGAGGCTCTAGAGGGATCCAGACCTCCCACGTGTTCGCCGTTTCGGGCCTCTGGAGGCCCTCGCCGGGCCCCGGGACCATCGAAAACTACCCGAGGTAAAAACCGGCCCCGGGGAATGGTCAGGACTCCCGGTGGCCCCACAGTCTCCCTCCACGGCGCAAGGAGGCCACACGAGAGCCCTAATTACCCCACCAGCCCACGCACCTTCGCTCGGGACCTCCCGAGCGAAGTACAAACCCCGCCTCTCCCCTTAGCAATCGTGGGCTGGTGGGGCAGGGCTCGCACGTGGCCTCCTGTCCTCGGCGCGAGGAGGCCGAGGGAGGGGAGGCGAGGGAGGGGAGGGGAGGGGAGGGCAGGGAGAGGAAAGAAGCACGGAGCTCCTCGAATTCGTCGGCCCGGCGGCTGCCCACAGCCGCGCCGCCCGGCCCCGCTCCCATATGGCCAGCCGTGGCCCCCGCCCCGGCCCACGGCTGCTGCTCGCGGCGCGCACCGGGGTGCAGGGCGAGAGGGGGGAGGGGACCCGAGCTGCTCCGCCATCGGGGACGCCTCTCTCGGGTCGGGCGAAAGGGGGGGAGAGCAAAGGGGGGGCTTGAGAAGAAGCTCACGTATAGCCGATTTTCCCGGCGCCTCCCGGCGCCGGAGGCGGCTACGTATATCGAGGAATGGGCCTCTCGGTGAAGCCGAAACCAGCTGCATGCAGCAGATGTCGTAACCCCCCCTTTCCCAATCCCCCCCGTTCGCCCGGCCCGGCTCTCCCAGGGCGGCTGGAGGAAAGCTTGCACCCCGACGTGCCACCGTGGGTGCCTAACACTTCCCGTTCTCCGCCCGCTGCGTCCACGAGGCCTCCTCCTCCTCCTCCTCCTCCTCCTCCTCCTCCTCCTCCTCCTCCTCCTCCTCCTCCCCCTCCTCCCCCTCCTCCTCACGCCGTGGAAGAATCACGACGGGACGTGTTGGCAACTTTGGGGCTCTGCGGGCCCTTGCGGGGCCCTGGGGCCGTCGAAAATCAGTCAGGCTGAGAAGCCAGTCCCCCAGCAAAGGGGTCCAGACCTCTGGGGCCACGTTGCAAACAAATCACGACGTCGGGTAGCTATGTCCCTGGAAGGGTTTCGCAGGGCGTGCTTTGTCAGATGGCGTCTGACACGAAGGCGGGCTTCTGCAACGCGGGGTGCCTTCTGAGACGGCCGCCCCCCTCGCCATGCCCCCCCTGTGAGCGCCGCCGGTCCTTGCCAGGACGTGCCGTGGCGCACGCTGCCCCGCTGGTCAGCCTCACTCCAAGGCCCCCGTCTCCGCGTTCCTGGCGAAGACTGCGCGACCGCAACCTCATGCGCAGTGACTCCCTCCCTGGGCTCAACGCCGGTATGCACCGTGCCATTGGGTTGCGCCAGGCCACTGCTGGGCTGCGCCCGGCCACTGAGATGCCCCCGGCCACTGGCGGGCGGTGCCAGGCCACTGCTGGGCTGCGCCGGGCCACTGGGCTCCACCGGCCCACTGCTGGGCTGCGCCAGGCCACTGCTGGGCTGCCCCGGGCCACTGAGGTGCACCGGGCCACTGAGCTGCGCCGGGCCACTGGGCGGCCTGCGGCGCAGCGACGCGGCCGTACTCCAGCGGCGCCACCGGCGCGGCCGCCGCCTGTGCCACGGGCGCGGCAGCCGCGGGGCGCTCCTCGGGCGCTGCAGCCTCGCCGTCCCCCTTCTGCGCGGCCTCCTCGTCGGTACCCTCGGACCTGGCCCTCTTGCGCGGCGGGCTCTCGACCTCGGCGCTGCGCAGGTCAGCCGCGTCGGGGACGTCGGCCTTCTCCTCATCCGCCGCCTCCGCGGGCGCCGTGTCCTCCGCCGCGTGAGGCGCCGCCTGGCCCTCGCACCTGGCGGGCGGCGACTCCACCTCCTCCTGAATCTCGGCGCCCTCGTCGTCGCCCTGTGCCCTCGCCTTCTTCAGGGGCGGGCCGTCGGCGCCGTCCTCGTCGGCCTCCTCGGAGGCCTCGGCCCGGATATCCTCCTGGTCGCCGCCTGCCTCCTCGGCCTCGGCTTCTGTCCTGGCCTGGGCGTCCTGGGCCTCGGCCTGGGCCTCGGCGCCCTTCGACTCCAGGGTCTCCTTGGCCTCGTTGGCCTCATCGGCCAACTCTTTCTCCTCCTGGCCCCTCACCTCTGCCTTGGCCTCGGCCTCCTCGTCAGCCACGACGTCGCCTTCATCTCTGGCGATCGACGCCTCCTCATCGTCTACCTCCTCTTCCGCTGCATCTTTGGCCGACTCGCAGGCTTCCGCCTCGCCCTTCTCAGCCTGGGGCTCCGCATCTGCCTCGGCATCGGCCTCGGTGGCCTCCTCCACAGCTGCCTGCGCCTCCTCGGCTGCCTCTGCCTCGGCCCCGTCCTTGGCCAGAGCCTCTGCCGCCTCGACCCCCTCCTTCGCCTTTCCTTCGGCCTCCTCCCAAACCTTTCTGGGGAAATCGAAAGGTACCGATACCGCTACTCCCGCACATCTCCCGGGGTGCGTTCTGAACAAAACTTCGAGGCGATTCCGGCGGTGGCGACGAGGGAGGGCCCCCTAGGAGGCCCCCAAGAGACGAAGACGATGGAAGGGCAGCGGTTTCGGCACCTCTTCCCCCATCTGAGCCTTTGCATCGGCCTCCTCCCTTGCCTTCGCTGCCAGCTCGGCGGCCTCTGCCAGGGTCCGCGCCGCGGCCTGGGCCTCCTCCGCTGCCTCTGCATCGGCCTCCTCCCTGGCCCGAGCCTCTGCCGCCCTGGCCTCCTCCCTCGCCCTAGCTTCGGCCTCCTCCCTGGCCCTGGCGGCGGCCTCGTCCTTTGCAGGGGTCAACCGACAACATTATCCCGGCAAAGCAACCTAACAGCGATGTGTAGAAGCATATCTGAAAGCATTCCCCTTAAGATTCAAATGAAAATCCAGTTGTCGAATTCTGCTGTTCTTGCAGTCGTAGTCGCATTCGCGATGACAGTCGCAGCGGCAACGGCAGTCGCAGTCACAGCCTCAGCCTCAGCCTGCCTCAGCCTCAGCCTCAGCCTGCCTCAGCCTCAGCCTGCCTCAGCCTCAGCCTCAGCCTGCAGCCTCAGCCTCAGTCTGCCTTCAGCCTCGGCCTCAGCCTCAGCCTGCCTCAGCCTCAGCCTGCATCAGCCTCAGCCTCAGCCTCAGCCTGCCTCAGCATCAGCCTGCTTCAGCCTCAGCCTCAGCCTGCCTCAGCCTCAGCCTCAGTCTGCTTCAGCCTCAGCCTCAGTCTGCCTTCAGCCTCGGCCTCAGCCTCAGCCTGCCTCAGCCTCAGCCTGCCTCGGCCGCAGCATCAGCCTGCCTCAGCATTCAATATGTGGCCCAGGAATGGAGTTCTGGGAACTAGAAGAGCACGAAGTGGCCTACAGTTGGCTCCGGGCATTCAAAATCATGCCCAGGAATAGAGCTCTGGGAACTTGAAGAGCACGAAGTGGCCTACAGTTGGCTCCGGGCATCCAAAATGTGGCCCTGGAATGGAGTTCTGGGAAGTCGAAGAGCACGAAGTGGCCTACAGTTGGCTCCGGGCATCCAAAATGTGGCCCGGGAATAGAGTTCTGGGAGCACCAAGAGCGATTTTGCGAGGATGTCCCAAGCGATTTCGGCTTCGACGGCAGCCTCCCCGGGTCCCGCCCAGACCCCCCTGAGGAGTCATGATGCTCTCTTTTGAGACCACTAGAAACCTATCAGCAAGAGCTGTTAGGTAAAAAACAATGCTTCTCCTTACAGAAGGACTGCTGTAATGACGAACGCCAGATAAGGAACGAAGCCGTCTGTTAGCGTCAACAGCGCCTGCGTGCACGAGGAGGGCTAGAGGAACAACCGCGGAATGGCCCAAGGAACAGCGAGCCCCTTCCGAACCCAAAGCCGTCCCTATTTCAGCCTCTTGGCTGCACCACTTTCACCGAAAATGATCCAGGAGATTCCCACAAGGCGGTACGTTGGTACACCCCCGGAGTCGCGATCAACTCCCAGCTGACCCGGACCTGCACCAGCACGAGAACGGGATCAGCAGAAGATGCCCCCCAAGGTGGCCCTGAACAGCGCTTCGGCCAGCGTTTCGGCCGATCGCCGCTCCCCATTAGCGGCGCGCACGAGGGGGTGGAGGAAGGGGGAGGGCTTCTTAGAATTAGGGCGCCGCCCGCGCCTTCTAAGAAATAGGGGTGCATCGAAAAAGCCCTCCCCCCCCTCTACGCGCGGCCGACGTGGTGATTCTTGCTCACAGCATGGCTCCCCGGAGGGTCTGGACCCCTCCAGGGGGGCCCTTTTCTCAATACGAGCCGCTTCTTTGCTGACGGCCCCGGGGGGCCCGCGAGGAGGGCGGCCCAGGGGCCGAGGCCGGTCCAAGACGTCTCGTCGTGACTTCTGCGCTGCGCTGGAGGCCTCCCACTTGGGGTCCAAGCAGATGGGGTCGGAGGGTCGCGCCGCATCGCCGATGCAGCAGCGGTGCAGCGCGATCCCCCGACCGCACCTGCTCGGACCCCAAGCGGGAGGCCTGGAGGCGAGGGCCCCCAGGGGCCGAGAACGGGCCAGGACCTCCAGTCGTGATGTCTCCGCGACGCCGAGATGCCGTGAGGAGGCCGCCCTCAGCTCAGCGGCGCGCTCAGGGGGGAAGGCAGAGGTGGCGGGGGGGTCCTTCTCAGACGGCTCAGAAGGCATCTGGCCTCCTGAGAAGCTTTCTCAAAGGCCGGAGGGCCTCCGGGAAGCCCCGCCGCCTTCTGAGAAGGTCCGCCCCCATCTGCCCTTCACCCCGGCTCGCCGCCGATCAACAGCGTGAGCAGCGTTCTTACGCCGCCTGCATACGTCCATGTTCATGTCCACTGCCGCGGGGTCGTGCCCCAGGGACTCGGGGAGCGGTGGATCTGGATACCTGCCCGCTCATAGGGAGCCCACAAAGGACGTACGCGCCCAGCTGTGTACATGAACACGGCCCCTCGATTCGCGAGACCGGCCGCGTGATACGAACATTTGTGCAATGCGTGCTCTCGAAACCAGCGTGGATTCATGTACATGTACGTCCTTCTTTCGCTCCTGAGCTCATGCGGGCGGGCAGCGCCCCCGAAAGACTCGACCCGTTCCCCAGGACCTATGCGTCATCCCGCGTCGGTCTTGACGGTCCCAGGGCCCAGCGAGGGCCTCCAGAGGCCGACAACGGTGAAGAACCTCCGTCCTGACTGTTTCAATACGGGGGATCTCTGGGACTCCGAAGAGGTGGATCTGGACAGATTCCGGCGGTGGCCTTCTGGCCGACCTGGGCGGCGACGTCCGAACCCCACAACCACCAGCACCAACCACCCATTCTCATGGATCGGTGGGAGACGGGGGCAGGGTTCGAATCTCGTAATTTGCTCGACGAGTTTCGAGCCCTACCCCCGCCGCCCATCGGGTTGCCTGAACCGTTGATCGGCGACCGCCGAACACTCGCACCAGAGAGGCCCCAAGTGAAATGAGACGTGGCAGTGGAAAAGAGGATCGATCGTTCTGCGTGTGAGAAGCCAAACTGCAGTCTCGGGCGCAGCTGGCGGCGGAAGAACGGCAAGGGACAGGAGGGCAGCTGCTGCTACGACTCTGGCCGAGCTCCGAACAGCTCTGCTGTCCTGGGCCGACATGGCAGGGAGCTTCGTCTGAGGCTTCGTGCTCGCCCGCGCCGCTTGCGCCGACCATTCGCGCCTCCCCGCGGCGGCGGCGCCCCCGGGCCATCTCCGGGCGCGAGGCGCCGACGGACCCTCCCCCTCCCGGCGCGGGGCGGCCCGCGGGCCGCGCCGTGCGCAGGAGGGAGGCGAAGGGAGGAGGGAGGGAGGAAGGAGGGCGGGAGGGAGGGAGGAGGGAGGGAAGGACCAGAGGGAGGGAGGGAGGGAGGGAGGGAGGGAGGGAGGAAGGGAGGAGGGAGGGAAGGACCAGAGGGGGGGAGGGAGGGAGGGAGGGGGTCCGGATTTCGTCGCCGAGGACCCCTGCTCCTCCGCCTTCGCCTCCAGCTCCGCGGCCTCAGCCAGGGCCCGCGCCTCGGCCTCTGCCTCCTCGGCCTGCTGCCTCGCCATCGCCGCGGCCTCCGCGAGCGCCCGCGCCGCGCACTCCTCCTCCTCCGCCTCCCAGGGAGGAGGAGGAGGAGGAGGAGGAGGAGGAGGAGGAATTCGCTGATATCCTCGGGGTGGCAGCGAGCTCAGCGATCATCGATCAGCACACCAGGCGGCGGGCCACGGAGGACGGCCTCGCGCCTGACAATGCCCAGCTCACGGGCCTGGGTCGTCTTGGACGGCCCCGCGTGACTGGGAAAAAGCCCCTTTTGAATTCGTTGAAGGTTTTCAGTGCGGGCCTTGCATTCGACAACTAAATGACGTGGGTCCTCCGGAGGAGGAGGAGGGGGTGGGGAACAGCCCAGATTGCAAGGCGTGGATTTACCCATATCCGCCGCCTGGGAGCTGACGTCCTGGTGCCCAAGCGGGCGGTGGACATGGATGTATTTTGGCCCCCAGGGGGCCGAATGTGTGTATATCTACATATATATATATACATACATACCTACCTACCTACCTACCTACCTACCTACCTACATACATAACATACATACATACATACATACATACATACATACATACATACATACATACATACATACATGCATACATACATGCATGCATGCATACATACATACATACATACATACCTACATGCATGCATGCATGCATGCATGCATGCATGCATGCATGCATACATACATACATACATACATACATACATACATACATTCATACACATCCATATCCATATCCATCTCCATATCCATATCCATATCCATGTCCACCGCCTGTGGAGGTCCGCGGTGGTTGTAGACAAACCCCTGCCGGCGGTTGTAGACGGTGGTTGTAGACAAACCCCTGACTCGGACAGAGGGGAGGTTGTCGGATGCAGCGCGGAGCAAGAAGCGGCGGCATAAACACAACGCGCGGAGCGCGCCGGGGGCGGCGCGGGGGGCGCCGCCAGGGGTGGCCCAGCGCAGAATCCAGCGAAGGTCCAAGAAAGCCGCGCGGACCGTCGAAAGCTTATGTTTACGCCGGGTTATTCTTCTTCGAGGGATAGCCAGAGGGGTTTTGTCGGCTATGCGGGAGTGGCCTCAGGTTGGAGGCGGACGGGTGGTCTGCCCTGGGCGGTCACCACCAAAACAGGTCAGGAGGGGAAGGGGAGACAGCCGTTGGGGGCAAGGGGAAACGTGAGGGGGGGACTGGCTCAGGGGGTGGGGACACCGACCTGGAACTGGCGATACATCGCCGATGGGTCCCGACGGCGAATCCGCACGTTCCTGGGCGGGGTGGGCTATCGGGCCCCCGTCGGCGATCAACGGGCGATCAATTGGCGATAGGGAGCGTTGCTCCTGAGGTCATCGACAAGAAGCAGTGGCGGCCTGCACGCTCGGGCCTGGCCCCCCCGCGCATCCGGGAAGCCGCGCACCAAAGGTGACTCTGGCGCAGGATCACTCCTGACTACCTACCAGACCACCCCAACCCAACCCGAAGGCACGAATTTGACCCGAATTTCGGGTTACGGTTGGGGGGGGTACGGGGACCATGTGTTTTTTCCACGTTCCCCGATCCCCCCCAACTGGAAATGGAGGTCAATTTGAGGCCTTCGGGTTGGGTTGGGGTGGTCTGGTGGGTGGTGAACTCCCACGTGCAGCCGAGATCACTCCCGCCCTGCGCGCGCAGGAGCACTCCCGCGTGCAGCTGGCGCCCCCGCGCCTCACAGCGCCGGAGGCGCGCCAGTGCATCGAGGAATGGCCCCGGCGGCGGAGCCGAAAGCAGCTGCACGCAGCAGATTCCGCAACCCACCCGGTCCTTATGCCCCCCCTTCGGCCGACCCGAGAAATGGAGGGGGACAGCCAAGTCATATCGGCTATTATGCAGGCGCGGCTTTAGGCAGAAGTGGCCAATGTGAAGGGGCCCTGGGACACACAAATAAATACACACAGATAGCAGGATTCCCCATATTTTCCCATGTTTGCTGGGTTCCTGTCTTCCCCCTCGCTTCCCATATTTTCCCATATGTTCTGTGGAATCGACGATTCGTTCCCTCCTGACAATGGTGCGCGGCGTGCCGGTCGCTGCACGCGGCGCGACGGTGGCGGCCTGCGCGCCTGGGTTCAGCACCCCGCACCCCCTGGGAAGCCGTGCGCCAGCGGCTGCTCCGGCGCAGGGCCACTTGCGCGTAGCCGAAGCTACGGTAGAGGAGGACGAGGAGGACGAGGAGGAGGAGGGGGGCGAGGAGGACGAGGAGGAGCAGGAGGAGGAGAGGGAGAAGGATGAGGAGGAACAGGAAGAGGAGGAGGAGCAGAACAACGTCGATGGCGACCGGCTCGCGGGCGAGGTGCGAGTGAACATCCCCCCTGCCCCCCAAACTCGAGGTTGGCACGCGCGGGGGAGACTGCGGTCGAGGTGCAACTCGTCAGACCCACCGCCAACTTTGAGCATTGGGGGGAGGGGGAGGCGTTCACAGATGAACGTGGCATGAGTGTTCGCTATTTTTTTCCGAGGCCTGTAGCGAATCAGATCACGCAGCTGGCTTTCCCGTCGCCCCCTTGCGCTGGAGGCGCCAATGAATCGAGGAGAGCGCCCGGCGGCGGGGCCACAGCCAGCTGCGCGCAGCAGATGTCCTACCCCCCCCCTTCCCCAGTCCCCCCTCTCTCGTCCGAAGCGAGCCTTGGCAGCTGCAGCCACCGCCTGCGACTCGGCATCGGCCTTCGCCTTCGCTGCGGCCTCCTCCTGGGCCTTCAGGGGGGCGCTGAGAAGGGCAGGGCGGCGATTCGCGTGTATGCTCGGGGTGCTTCTTCATCGGCTTGCGAAGCACGTCTGGAACGTCAATGCGAAATCCACCGACCCTGGTCGGCGCGTGTGAGGGGGAGTTGTGGGTCCGTCGTCCCAGGTGTTCCTCAGAGCCGATCTCTCATTCGGTGTGCTCCTCCATTCCCGGAGACTCTCCCGAGACCCTCTTTGGCGTGCCAAGCGCGGCAGCTCGAGGCGAATCGAGCCAGATCATAATCGAAGTCGTCATTGCATCGAAGGTAGGCACCTTCCCTTCGATCTCTTCCCCACTGGAGAGGAAGGAAACGGGGACCATGACCATGACTGAACGTGAAAAAATCGAGTCAGCATCGGTCACCTTCCATCTTGGTCAGCGTTAAACCGTGGATCATCCTCGAGAATCGGCCACGTCCAACACGGACCATGACCAAAATCGGCATCGGCAAAATCCCGCGAAATCTTGGTCATGGTCCCCGTGTTTCTTCCCTCGACCCACCTGGGGGGGGGAAAGGCGGTCTCCGAAGGGGGTCCTGGGAGGGGTCCCGGGGTAGGGGAGGGGATCCCGGGTCAGAGAACGGGCCCCCCCTTCCCGCTTCGGACCGCCTTCCCGTGGTCTGCCGTTTCGGGCCGCCTTTCGGGCGGCCCTCCTTCGGCAGATCAGGTCCAAGATGCTCCAGGAGGGGCCCAAGAGGAGGAGGAGGAGGAGGAGGAGGAGAAGAAGGAGGAGGAGGAGAAGAAGGAGGAGGAGGAGAAGGAGGAGAAGGAGGAGAAGGAGGAGAAGGAGGAGAAGGAGGAGAAGGAGGAGAAGGAGGACAAGGAGAGGCAGGAGGAGGAGGAGGAGGAGGAGGAGGAGGAGGAGGAGGAGGAGGAGAGTCGCCGAGAGACTGCTCCAAGATGCCCATGGATGGCCTCCAGACGGCCCAACAAGGCGCCTCTAGGACGCCTCGAGCGGCAGAGGCGCCCAAGAGCACTTCCCGAGAGGGCCCGAAGGGGCAAACTGTACCGAATTGCCGTTGTTAGCGTTTCTTGAGCAGGGACCGACAGTGCCGGCATTCCTATAATCATACCACGACATGTTTTAGAACTGAAAAAAAAGGGGTTCTAAGAACAAAGCAATGTTCTTAGAGCATAAGCCCGATGTGACAAAACAAGACAGAGTCCGCCAGAAATGTTCTAAGAACATGTCGTGGAGACCTCAAACGGTTCTTATAACATTGTTTAGTAGGGCTATAGGCACGCCAGGACGCTTCGCCGCTGCTTGAGTTTCTGCCTGCCTGGCTTCCCGACGCTCCAAAGTGGCCCAAGGGGCCCCGAAGGTCGCCCAAAGACGGCCTACCAGGCCGTCACGAGGGCGCCGAGACGGCCCAAAGGACCTCCAACACGGCCCCAAGAGCGGCCCAAGAGGGGCCCCCCAGAGGGCGAGCACGAACCGACATTTCAAGCTCACCGCCCCAAGAGGCTCCCAGGAGGCCCCAAGAGGCTCCCAAGTGGCCTCCAAGAGCCCTCCAAGAAGCTCCCATGAGGCCTCAAGAGGCACCCAGGAAGCCTCAAGACGCTCCCAAGACGCTCCCAAGAGGTTCCCAAGCGGCCTCCAAACTGCCTCAAGAGGCCCCCGACAGTCCTCCGAAGAGATCCCAAGAAGCATCCCTGAGGATTCTGACCCACTACCCAGGCACTGTGGCGGGATGGGCCGCAGGCCACTAGACCATCCGACAAGGGCCTGAAATCGCCAGAGCGCCCGAAGAGAGCCTCCAGAGGGCCCCCACAGAATTCCAAGCCAGCCCGTAGTATCATACCAGGTACCCTTGGTATGTCACTGTTGCGGGCTGTTTCGGGCGCACTCACGGGGCCCTCTCAAGCCTTTTGTAGAGCCTCCAGGTGCCCTTTGGGGCCTCTTTTCAAACAAGTTGGGACCCTCAGAGCGCCAGGAGAGAGCTCCAAGAAGCCTCCAAGAAGAGAGCCTGGAGAGAGCTCCAAGGAGACTTCCAAAAGGTCCTCAACGGTTTCATAGGAAGCCTAGATGGCGGGATAGGCCGTGGGCCACCTAGTCGAAGAGGGGCCTGAAATCGCCCGAACGCCCCAAGAGAACTCCCAGAGAGCTCCCACTGAATTCTCCAAGAGACCAGGCTCGACTCCCAGATGGTCAGGATGTTGCTTCCAGCCAAGACGATTCACGATGCCCTCAAAGACGGCGAAGATGGCCCCGTCTAACCTCAGATGGCCCCAAGATACCCCCAAGACGGCCACGGATGGCGGCAAGAGGCAGCCATGAGGCCTGCGGAGGCTCCCAGAGCCCCGACAAGAGACTCCCGAGAGGTCTCCTCCTCCTCCTCCTTCGTCTCCTCCGCCTCCTCCTCCTCCTCCTCCTCCTCCTCCTCCTCCTTCTTGTACTCCTCGGTCTCGTTCTCGCTCTGGTGCTCGTTCTCGTTCTCGTTCTCGTTATCCGCCTCATCCTCCTCCTCCTCATCCTCCGTTAAGTGAGATACGCGTGCACTCAACGGAGGAGGAGGAGGAGAGGAGGGGACGAGAGAGGGACCAGGACAGGGCGATGGTATTTTCATGGCAGCGTGGCGACGCGCATCTCCGCCGAGCGTGGGCCCTGGTGGCCCCACGCTCAACGCGAGCGCGTGGGCCCTGACGGCCCGCGCGCTCGCGCTCTGGCACGCCTGCGGCCGCTCGGCCGACGCAGGCGTCTGGGAGCAAAGCGGGGTGGGTGGGCACCCGCGCGTCGGCCAGAGCCGAACGCTACGGACCCAAAATGGCTACCTGAGCCCACACCCCCTCCCACTTAACCTGCAGTCTACAACCAATCAGACTATACAAGTTAAGTGAGATACGCGTGCACTCAACGGAGGAGGAGGAGGAGAGGAGGGGACGAGAGAGGGACCAGGACAGGGCGATGGTATTTTCATGGCAGCGTGGCGACGCGCATCTCCGCCGAGCGTGGGCCCTGATGGCCCCACGCTCAACGCGAGCGCGTGGGCCCTGACGGCCCGCGCGCTCGCGCTCTGGCACGCCTGCGGCCGCTCGGCCATGAGAAAAGAAAGACGCAGCCGCGCGCGCGGGGACGCCCCGCCCGAGTGCGAGGGCGGGATCAGAGGCTGCAAGAGCCTCGCGCGCGCGGCCACTTGCCTGCAACCTTGAGGCCTTCCGCGCCCGCGCACCCAGAGCGCGGGCGCGGCGCGCGCGCGACGCGCGCAAAAGAACCGAAAAGGGTGGCGGCGCACGAGGCGCCGGGCGCAGAGCGCAAGTGTGGCCCCGACCGCACGGCGCGCAAGACGCGCAGCACGGCCGGGTCCAGGAAGCACGCGACGTGCGCGCAACGTTAAACTCCTCCAAGAGGAGGATCGCAGGCGCCACCTGCGTACCGTAGGCTAAAAGAAAGAGATCGCAGGCGCCACCTGCGTACCGTAGGCTAAAAGAAAGAAGATCGCAGGCGCCACCTGCGTACCGTAGGCTAAAAGAACAAGATCGCAGGCGCCACCTGCGCACCGTAGGCTCAAGGATCGCAGGCGCCACCTGCGCACGGTAGGCTGAGAGGAGGGCCGACTCACTCACAGGCCGCCGCCTTCGGCCCGCGCCCGCGATGCCGCGGGCGCTGGCGTCGGGGTACGGGGGGGAGCTCCACGCCTAGATGGAGGGCGTGTTCCCCCGGCGGTCGCGGCTCTCGTCTCCGCTGCGGTCTCCGCCGCGCTCACTGGGGTCCCGGGGGCTGCTGCCATCGCCGCCCCTCGACGCGCGACCGTCCGCGCTGGGCCAGTCACGCTCACTCCGGCCGCGGCTGCCCTGGTCGCCCTTGGAGTGGCCGCCCTTGCCGCTCTTGTCGCCCTTGCCGCCGCTCTTGGTGCCCTTGGCGGCCTTGCCGGAGTACTTGCCCTTGACCTTGCCGCCCTTGCCGCCCCTGTCGCCCGCGCCCTTGCCACGCCAGGCTGGGATCCCACCCCCGCCCGCGGCAGCCTCCGCGGCGGCAGCACGCCGCCGCTTTTTCTCCTGCTCGTACCAGCCGCCGCGAGGAGCGCGAAGCTGCCCAGCGTGCTTCCCGGTCTTACGCCGCGTGCGGCCGGGCGGGGTGTCGCCGCGCCGCGCCCACGCTGGGTCCCGCGCCAGACTGTGGCTGGGCGACCTCTCGCGCTTGGGCCGGTGGCGGCTGGGCGACCTCTCACGCTTGGGCCAGCTGAGGTCGCCCGGCGGGCGGTCCCCCTCAGCCCCCGCACCCGTGGCACCCGTGCTGGGGCGCTCGCCATGGCCGACACTGGGGCCCGGCGCCTCCCGCACGGTGTGGCCGCTCCGCCGGGCCTTCTCCACCACCGTCTTGGGTTTGCCGAAGGCGACGCGGCAAGCCTCGCAGTAGCTCACGTCGCACCCCTTACAGTGCCACCGCAGGGCTCCGCTGTTAGCTCCGCCCGCGGGGCACATCTCGCAACCCCAACCGTCTCCCGGGTCAAAGGAGCTCCAGCGCATCTTGAGTGCGCATTTCGGGCAGGCAGGCGGCTGGATGGTCGGGCCATCCTCCCCGTCGCTGCCTGGGTCAGGGCCGCGAGGCCGGCTCGCCCACTCCGTGACCACCGTGCACGGGTCCGTCTTGTAGAACCGATAGTTCGACCTCATGCACTCCCGCGCGCGCTTTGCGTCAGCGCGGCGCTGGAACTCCACCAGCACGCACGGCTCCCGCTTGTGGCGGTGGTCGTACAGGAAGGCGATGTGTTTGACGACCCCAAAGGGCACGACCACCTGCCTGACCACCTCGGCATCGACGTGGTGCGGTACCCGCTCGATGCGGATGATGGACTCGCCCTCGTCGTGCTGGTCACTGGGCTGCTGCTGGGCGCCCTGGCGCTGCTCCTCCTTGCGCCTACGGCGGCTCCTCGAGCGCGGCTGGCGCTGGGGCGGACCGTCCCCCGCGCCTGGCGCCCGCCTCCTCCACCTCGGTCTTCACCTCGAAGGACCGCGGCGGCGCCCCCCCGCTC